GCCATCTCCCCGAGCCCAGCATTGTGCCATCTCCCTGAGCTCAGCATCGTGCCATCTCCCTGAGCCCACCTCCCTTTCCCCATTTACATTTCATGGAACAAGATGCACGGAAGGAAGGGGATCTGCCGAGGGCAGCGGAAGAGGGAGAACGTCTTTGTTCACTCTTTATTGTGTCTTTTTAAAAGATGGCATCATGGCTCACCCAGTGGGTCAGTGATTCACACGCGCGTCATTGGTGCCCTTCAAACAGGTTCCTGTGGGGTTTTCAGGGCTGCTTGTCTGCGTCCCTCTGCATCTCCTGGCCAACCTCAGGAGACAGAAGTGGAGACCCTCGGTTACCGGCCAGAAAGGAGTGGGTGCTGAGGGGAACCGAGGAAGCTGGGGGGAGGTCAGGCAGGCAACCCGGCCCCCTCTATTCTACTTCCTGTCCCCCCAGACTCCCCCGGTTCACCCCTGTCACCATGTGCAAAGTACCTTCTCCAGGGCCGCTACACGCTCTCCTTCACCTTCTTTCTGGTGGAGTATGGAATGCAGCACACCCAGCTGGTCTTGGTCCTGGTGGCCGAGAGGAGGGGAGGGGCTGAGAGAGAGGCAGGCCCCGGGCCACAGGTGCTGGAGTATGGCAACACCCCTTGAACCCCAAACACACGCCACGGGGTCTCTGCTCCAACCTCTACTGCACCCCACTGCTCACGGCCCCGGGAGCCAAGGTCTTGTCTCTGTGGCTCCCGGGCCCCACGCACAAAAGCGGATTCCAGTGCAGAGCCAGGCTTGCCTTTCCTCCAGATGCTCGGGGTTTACCCACCCCCCACCACGGCTGCCGTCCTCTGTCCTGGAAGGCCTGGGCCAGGAGGGACCCGTGGACACGAGAGACCCTTAAAGACTAGCTGAGCCAGGTGTCACAGGGGTGGTTCCCACGGCCAGCCCAGCCTGTGCTTGCCTCCCTGTGGGGTGGTCGCTGGGGTTTCCACTTCCAAGGCTGCCTCAGTATGAGATGGCAGCCCCCCTCCCTTGGCAGGAACCACCATGGCTTGGTGCCCATATGTCCCGCTGGCTGCTATGGGCTACTGGCATATGGGTACCTGACCCCACCATCTGAGCGGGCCCGAGGCACAGGCTGGACAGAGAAGCCTTTTGCTCTGAGGGAAACTGAGCTTGCAGGTGAGCAGCACAGCAGAACAAACAGGTGACCTGCCCAGCAAGTGTCCAGGCCTAGCCCTCCAGGGTGCCCACTGCAGACCCCCTTCCCACTGGCCTAGAGGCCTCCGGTGGCCACAGCTTGCTTTTTGAGTGCTGGCCTGCCTCACAGGTTTCCCTAGGGGTGATGGGCCGAGACCCAGAGACCAGGCGGGTGGACCTGGGATTGTCCGACCTTCGGGGCAGAAAATAAAGCTGCCAAGCTGCACCTCGTGTGGCTGAATCTGTCACTATGTCCATTAAGCAGCGAAGAGGAAAATAAAGGTCTGCTTAGGAAAAGACTGCTTATTTTAGGCCTAGATCTGAGAGCGTGACAAGACCATCCCCAAATCTTTCACGCCATAAAAGCCAACGTGACCAGCTGGGTAAGTCGAGATCAGAAGAGAGGTGGGTCTTCTGAGTGACGACGGAATGAAAATGCCTCACGGAAACGCTCGCCCCGAACACACACATCTGGGCGGAAAGCAGCAATAATGACAACAGCCAAATAGGCGAAGGGCCGTAATGCTAGAAGCATTCAGAGCTGGCGATCCAGAAAAATGGCACCGACGGAGGAGCCTATTTTCACCAGGAGCCAATTTTCACCAGCGCCTGTCTGTGCGTCCGAATCTACACTTCAAAACCAGGTCCGAATCTACACTTCAAAACCAGGTCCGAATCTACACTTCAAAATCCGGTGTGGTCCTCACTGTTCCTGAGAGAGAAACTTGGGTGATTCCCTCTTTGTTGTGCTATTCCACCTTATTTAAGTTATTTAAAATGACCGTGTGTCAGTTTTACAAAGCAAATGGAAATTTTTTAAAAGTATGCAAGAAATTAAACCAAGATATTAATATAGTTGTTCATTCTGAGCGGTGGGAAGTTGAATACATTGCTCTTTTCTTCCTTGTGTTTTTCTCTGTATTGTTTAAAATAAAATAGGTCCGTGGGCCCTTGGGTGGCCTGGAAGTAAGTGCCCCACCTTCTCCCAGCACCCTTTACGGCCTCGGGAAGTGGTGGGGCTTCAATGGCCCTACACAATCTTCACCCCAATAGAGTGTGGGTGGTCAGGACACATGTGAGGGGTCCTCCCACTGCCGGCAGGACCAAGGTGTGTGACCTTTTGCAGCCCATGAGGTGATATCCTATTCTCATCTTCCCTTCTTCCCTTCTTTTTCCTTCCCCCGGGTTCTGCCCATTTTGTTGCTTGATTGGATGGGAAGAGAGAGTCTGGCTATGGAGTAAGGTGGGACTCAAAGCAAAGGTTGTGCCAGATCCCTTACAGCGGTTCTCAACCTGTGGGTCTCGACCCCTGAAAATACATCCTGCATATCAGATAGTTCCATTACGATTCATAACAGTAGCAAAATTACAGTTATGAAGTAGCAACGAAAATAATTTTATGGTTGGGGGTCATCACAACATGAGGAACTGTATTAAAGGGTCGCGGCGCTAGGAAGGTTGAGAACCACTGCAGAAGGTTCGATGCCCTGTTGCCCACCTCTCAGCCCCTCCAGCCTCGGTAAATGCTTAGGACACTGCGTGCATCTAGAGGAAGAGGGAAGGCACAGTGGACCCACTAGAAACGGGGTAGAGGAACAGTCTCCCCACCTCCCCGAGCATGAGCCCAATACTCACTCATCTTCTGACAAATCCCCCATGTCCATTTGGGACCACTTCTCTTCTCTCGTGGCACATGTGACCACCTGCGAGAAGCAGCAGAAGCACTTTAGTGGATGGGGTGGAGGAGGGGGTCAACCACAGGCCCCAGGCCGGACATGCTGGGCCTGCCCAAGGGTCAGATGGAGACGTGAAGACTGCACTGGCCCTGAGCTCAATCCCACAAGACTGGGAACCATCAAGTGGAGATTTCTAATTCTGGGGCCCTGACCAAGGAGCTGTGGCCTGGATACGGGCCACCATGACCTCTAGATTGTAGATCAGGATAGGTGGGCCCTTAGTCTCAACTCTGCCTCCTTGAGTCCTTAGAACATGTGGTGCCCCATGGTAGCCTTGTCAGGAGTTAATCAGCTATCTTCGTTGTACAGCATGTTCTGAGGGCAAAGAGGTAAAAGGTGCAATTTGGGAAAAAAAAATAACCCTCAGGCCGGAGCTTAAAGTGGCCAAGACAAAAATACCTACAAGCATGACTGCTCACTACAGCAGAAGAATGGAAAAGACATCCCAGACAGACCTTTGAGTCAAACACTTCTCTTTACAGAAAATGATGATGATGATGATGATGATGATGGTGATGGTGATGGTGATGATGATGGTGATGATGCTGCTGCTGAACATGATGGTGATAGTGGTGATGATGTAATGATGGTGATGATGATGATGATGGTGGTGAAGATGGTGATGATGATGATAGTTATGATATTGATGATGATTGTGGTGGTGGAGTAAGGTGGGACTCAAAGCAAAGATTGGGCCAGATTCCTTAGGTGGTTAGATGATGATACCTAATACTGAGGCTTTCTGGGTACTAGACACTGTTTGAGGGCTTTATAGAACAACCCTGGGGTGTGGGTACTACTAAGATACCCATTTGACATATGAGACAACTGAGGCCCAGAGAGGTATAGTGACTTGTTTGAGCATTTACTGGCAGAGCTGGATATGGAGGCCAGGTCTCCTAATTCCTAAGCTTGTGCCCTTTCTAACACCCCAGCATGATCCCACAAGAGGTTCTCAGGGCCCATGGGCACCCCAATGGTTGACCCAGGCCCTAGAGTGTTGGAATGCATGCAGGTTAGAGTGAGGGAGGATGAGAAAGAGGAGGGGGTGCCCTCCAGCCCCCTAGACCAGTCCTCAACACCCTGGAGCTTTCTTGATGCTGCTGTCCCTGTCTTTGCCTCAGCCTCCAACACACACGTGCACGGGGCGAGTTCCCCAGAAAAGCTTTGTGGGCCTGAGCACAAGCATTTCCTGGTGGGTTTGGCTTTGTTGTGTGAAGGGTTTTTACCTCTTCAGCATGGTCTCCCAGATCAATCTCCACAAACATAGATGGTTTCTGTGAATGAAAACCAAAGAGACGTGGAAGAAAGACTTGCGTAAGCTAGGGAGGTGAATAGACTTTCTGGGAGGTAGAGTGGACTCCTGACCCCCAGTCAGGGTCTGAGCAATGACCACTGGGACCACCAGACACTGGCAGTGCTCAGTGCGGGCTCCTGAGAAGCTGGGGAGAGAGCTGCTGGCAGTGTGGATGGCAAGGTGTCCATGGGCCATCTCTGGCAGAGGAGGGAGGGGGGGAACATGGCCTTCCCACATCTCCCTGCTCACCTCCCATCAGGGCCCTGAGACCCAGAGGGTTTCTCCCACCTTTGCCCTCTGAGAACCAGGGCCTCCGGGAGACAGGCGATGTCCAGATCTGGAGCAGCCCCCCAAAGCCCACTTCAGACCTGCTCAACTGGGAAGCACCTTTAATTCTGCCTCCAGAAACCTACCTGGGACCCCACTTTACCCAGTCATGAAGGCTCGCACTGAGGTGTGAGAAGCCCAGGCAGCTCAGGTGTTGCTGCCCCAGGGGTCTCTTATTGGCACCTTGGCTCAGTCCAGAATGTGTAGCACTTTAATGGTAGCACTTTAAATGGTAGTCCAATGGTAGCACTTTAATGAACACCAAGGGAAATATTGGGGGTGGGTGAAGGACTCCCCAGAACCCCTGAGTCACACCAAGGACCATCTGTTGTAAATCCTGGTAAAACACATCCAACTACCTCTCCATTCCCTACCACACGGATTAGGAAGGAGAATGACAGCCACCTTCCCTGAGAAAGTGCCCTGTGCCAATTGCTACTATAGCACTGACATGTCTCTGGCCAACGCACCGGGGCCTGGGACTCGGGGTGTTTCCCTAGTCAAGCTGAGTATTGCCTCCTGTCAAGGACCCACATGCCTTTAGCCACTGCACTATTTGGAATTAGGATGCCCCAGCATGAGGGCAAGAGCACAGAGCTTGACCTGGAAGGCTCTCTGGGGTCAGGGCAAGGCTTGGTCCAGCCTGTACCATGGTCCTGTCTAGATGACTTGGGACCACATGTCCCCAGGGCGCTCATGGTCCAGCAGGACTATGCCTGATAGGCTTCTCCATCACACTGCTGTCACCAAATTAAACAGCTCTTGCCTCTTTTTCCAGAAGGTCTTCCGGCTTTATGGACTCCAACTCCTGTTCCTGTAAGAAGACACCAAACAGGTGCATAAAGGCAGGACTCTGACCCGAGGGGACAGGAGTACAGGGATGTTAAAGGACCACGGCCTGACCTTGGCCTCCTGGGAGCATTTGTTTGTGTGCTCGGCTTCTTCGTGCTCCTCCTGGTCGCTGGCCTCTGAGTCGCTCTTCTCACCCTCCAGCTTTCCACTCCCACGGTCCAGCTTTCCACTCCCACGGTCCAGCTTTTCAAGGGCATCCTGGTTCTTCTCCTGCTTGTCTTCCTCTAGGGTTGCCTGACTGTAGGAGTGGGAATGAGGGTTTGGAATCGGTGTCATGGAGACAGCTTCCAGATGACACCTTCTCCCTCTTGGGCATCGGCAGCTCTGGGAGCAGCTCCAGCCTGGACAGGGAGGCAGAGAGGGGCCTGGACAGGGAGGCAGAGAGGGGCCTGCGTGTGCAGGGCCTGCCTCCTTCCTGAGGGCAGAAGGTGGGTGGGCAGACACGTCCGACAGGAGGGGAGGGGCGATGTGCAGAGGATGAGCAGTGATGCTCAGGTTGCTCCTGTCCTCCCTCCTGCACACCCAGACCTTCCCCAGCGTGAGCCTCCGCCGGCTAGAGAGGGGCCTGGACAGGGAGGCAGAGAGGGGCCTGCGTGTGCAGGGCCTGCCTCCTTCCTGAGGGCAGAAGGTGGGTGGGCAGACACGTCCGACAGGAGGGGAGGGGCGATGTGCAGAGGATGAGCAGTGATGCTCAGGTTGCTCCTGTCCTCCCTCCTGCACACCCAGACCTTCCCCAGCGTGAGCCTCCGCCGGCCCCGCCACCTGGGATGACGCTACTCCTTTTCTGGGGACAGGTGCCAGCTCCAGGACTCCGGGGCCACCACACAGCTGTAGTTGGAGGGCGGAGGGGAGCGGAGGGGCTTGCAGCCCTGAGAACCACCCTGGTTCCCCCAGCCTCAGACCCTCTCATCTGAACCCCCGGGGTCCTCTCAGGACGCCCAGGGCTCCTTCAGGGCCTCCAAGTCTTCGTCTTGGTGCTGGCCCCACTCCCCGCCCCGTGGTGAACACCACCCCTGCCGGACAAAGCCCACTTACCAGAGGGGGTCTTCGGCGTTGCTTTTCAGGTCCTTTCCCTGATCTTCAGACTCTGAGGAGGAAGGAGCAAGTTGTCAGACACTCCCACCCTGTGGTGCAGGAGCGCTGCCGGCCCAGGGCCCACAGCCCAGCCCTGCGAGGGTGGGGCCAGACCATGGGGTGCTGGGCTCCCTGCAGCTCCAGTGTCGGCCTGGTGACTAATGGTTATGACTAAGGCCAGCCTCAGTTTTTATCCTGACAGGTTGTCTCCCGATTCCCTGCCCCGACGACACCCACTCTGCACAAGGCCCCACCCCACACCATCTCTGCCTCTCTAGGCAGAGCTCGGGTGAAGCTAAAGCACTGTCTTTACAATAGATGTGCAGGACCCCCGGGCAGCCCTGACATCCTCCCGCGCAGCACACTGACTGGGAGCAGCAGGAGTGGAGGGCAGGGGCGGGGACCCACTGGGCAAGCCTGTCCCACAGGGGGTGGCATTTGAGATACACATGGCTTGTTCAGGAACCTCCTCTCCTTGTTCCTCCTCGGAAAGGCCTGGCCAGGGGGGTTCCTGTGTCATTTTCCCAAGGAAAGTGCTGCCCGAGGCCCAGCTAGTCGGGATCTTTGTCCAGTGCACTCAGTAGCCCGAGAATCTGCCAGGCATCCAGGGAGCTGTTCTTCCAGCCGCAGCCTCACATACGTAGCAATTGTCAGGAGATAATTAAGGTAAAGCTGCGTTTTGGTGACTTTGGCAGGATCAGAGCATGAGCTTCGTGAACTGTTTTCACCAGGACAGAGACCTCTCGCTGCCAGGCTTGTCGGCCAGGAGAGCCTCGGAGCAGTTATGCAGGAGGGGTTCCCTAACCCTCTTCAGGACCTGAGCGAGCCTCCGAGGGGACTCAAGGTGGCGACATTGAAAGTTCCGTTTCTGTGCAGTCCCCTCTGAGCCTGGGAGTGTTGAGGCGCTCCCTGAGTAGTGGCTCCTCCCACAAGGAGCTTGGTCCCCCCTCCCCGCCCCCCACACCAAGGGCCCTGATGCAAGCACAGCCTGGGGGCAGTTCCAAAGCTTTAAGTACTGCTGTTGATGGAAGACATAGCCAGGGCACCTCTGAGCAGCTCCCATCTTGGAGAATCACTTTACAGAATCTGGTTGTGGGATCAGCAACTCCAGGCCTGTGCTCAGGGTTGTTTTGGCTCACAGGCCTCGGGGCTGGGATGACTGCCCGAGAGAGGAGGTGACGGCCCAGTTCCCAGTGGGTGCCCTGCACCCTGCTCCTGCTGTTCTAAGGAGTCTGATCGGCTGGTCCTTGCCTTCTCTCATCTGGTCCTCCCCTGACACCTCTCTCCTGAGCCCTGCCATCTTCCAAGGCCACCCTTCCTGGGACCTGGGTGCCCCGGCCCAGTGCTCAGCGACCCGCTGTAAAGGGAGCTTTTCATCACGGCCGGGCCTTCCTAGTGCTCAGCACAGGTGGCCTCGGGCTGTGTCACCCGGGCATTGTCTCTCACTGCTCCGAGTTCCCTGTGGATACAAACTAGGTGTTCTTCATCCTCCTCATTCTTCATGCCCGCATAGGCTCAGAGGCCTGATCTGTGGCTGTGCTGCCCCCACACAGACACTGGCCACGCCAGGGACAAACAGCCCCGAAGGCCAAGGGCAGGGATATAAGAGGGGGCACAACTGGGTCCTCAGAGAATATTTTAGGACTTGGGACAGTAGTCCCACTTCCACGCAGTTTCAGTTCTGAGGTCTCCTGTAGTCTGAAAATATGAAATGGAAAGTGCCAGAAATAAACAATTAATACGTTCTCATTGTGAGCCATTCTGAGTTGCGTGAGGAAACCTCTCACTGTCCCGCTCCCTCCTGCCCGGGATGTGAATCGTCCTTTGGTCCAGCGCACCCACGTGTGTACGCTCTCTGCCGGTTAGTCACTGGGCAGCCACCCTGGCTGTCAGAGCCGCCGTGTGGTATCCCCAGGCTTGTGTTTGAGTAACTCTTATCTTATTAATAACTAGTGGCCCGATGCACGAAGATTCGTGCAAGAATGGGCCTTCCTTCCCCTGGCTGCTGGCACCGCCTTCGCTCCCACCCGGAGCCGCCTTTCTGCCTTTGCTTCAGCCTGGAGCCGCCTTTCCACCTTTCCATGCTGCCCAGAGGCCTGGAGCGGCTGGAGCAGTGCAGAACGCCTTTGTCGTCGCCATGGCGACGGCGCAAGCATCCTGCCCCGCCCCCGGCCGCTTGGTGCCTGCATATGCAAATTAACCTTCCATCTTTGTTGGGTTAATTTGCATACCGGCTCCTGATTGGCTGGTGGGCGTTGCAAAGGTATGGTCAATTTGCATCTTTCTCTTTTATTAGTATAGATGGCCCCAAAGCACACGAGAGGTGGTCCCGGCCATTCTGCTAGGCCAGAGAGAAGCTGTCAAGTGCTTCCTTCCAGGGAAAAGGTGTGTACATGGAAGAGAACACATAGCAAACCTAGTGTTCAAATACTATCCGTGGTTTCAGGCGTTCACTGAGGGTCTTGGCACGTATCCTCCGTGGACAAGGGGGACCAGAGTAGCTCTCAAGACATCCCTCAGGGAGAAAAGGAGCATGCAGCCTCCACCTCAGGTAAGAGGGCTGCTTCATGGTCAGTGGTCAACCCATGGGCCCATGCACATGCATATGTGTGCATGTGCATGTGCTTTGTATGTGCCTGTTTTAGAAGACAAGGGGCTGCCTGGCCAATGTGGCCTAATGGTTGAGAATCAACCCATGAACCAGGAGGTCACGGTTCAATTCCCAGTCAGGGTACATGCCTAGGTTGCAGGTTTGACCCCTGTTAGGGGGCACGCTGGAGGTAGCCGCTCAATGATGTTTCTCTCTCATTGATGTTTCTAACTCTCTATCCCTCTCCCTTCCTCTCTCTCTCTCCCTCTCTCTCTTTCTCTCTCTCTCCCTTAAAAAAAAAAAAAATTAGTAGAAGACATGGGGCTGTCCCAGACAGATCTTCAAATACTTTTTCTTCCTATTATGTATCTGGCAAAAAGAGTCATGCCCTAGACCAGTGGTTCTCAACCTGTGGGTCACGACCCCTTTGGCGGTCGAACGACCCTTTCACAGGGGTCACCTAAATACATCCTGCATATCAGATATTTACATTATGATTCATAACTGTAGCAACATTACAGTTATGAAGTAGCAACGAAAATAATTTTATGGTTGGGTCACAACATGAGGAACTGTATTTAAAGGGCCAGAAGGTTGAGAACCACTGCCCTAGACAGTTTGGCTTAATGGATAGAGCATTGGGCTGTGGACTGAAGGGTCCCAGGTTTGATCCCAGTCAAGGGCACATGCCCAGGTTATGGGTTCAGTCCCCAGTAGGGGGCGTGCAAGAGGCTGCCAATCAATCATTCTCTTTCATCATTGATATTTCTCTCTCTCTCTGCCTCTCCCTTCCTCTCTGAAATCAATAAAAATATATATTTTTTTAAAAGAATCAGTAAAGAAAGAGACACTATTTCTCTTTCCCCCATTTTAAGACGTGGACAAGGCCTGGAGGCGCCTCCCTGGCGTGTGGCTGGTGAGGCTCCCGCTCTGCACCCTCAGGCTCAGGCTCTGGGAAGCCGAGACCCCGTGCAGCCTGGGACCCTGGGGCCTGGTTGGCAGGACCACAAGCCCCGCGGAAGCCTTTCGGCCACCCCTGCATGGCCGGCGTTATTGGAGAGCCCTCTGGGTCTACTTGCAAAATTTCCCACACAGACTCAGGTTGGTCTCCTCTTTTGGGAACTTAGATCTTCTTGAGCGAGAAAGTGTGGCCATGCTCAGAGCCTGAACGGGAGGGAGGTGGAGGGTCCAGCAGCTCCTCTCTCCTCAAACCACACACCTTTGGACTTTGACACTAGAGAAGAAATATGTTCACACCCCGACCTCTTACAGTCGCCCCTAGAGCATGAAAAAGCAGCTATATTTCCCTTTTACAGTTTCATTTCTTCAGCCTACTCATCAAAGGCCACCTGCTGGCGAGAGGGAGAACCAGCACATGACTCTCAGTCACTGCCGTCCTCCCACCAGCTCTGCTCCTGTTTCTCTGGGGAAAGAAAAAAGCTAACATTCAGGATGCAGGTCCACATAAGGACCAGGGTGTTTCGGGACCCATCCCCACTTCCACCACACCATGGCCGCGCTGGGCATGTTTAGAAATATCCTGGAGTGGCTAACACAGCCAGCATAACGTATAAACCTACACACTTTATCATTTAAAGGCCACCTTAGTGCCAAGCCTGACGGGCAGTACTGTCCCCCACAGGGTCACGGCCGACCCCAGGCCCCAGGAGGCGCTGTGGTTCCCTGAATGAGACAGAGCTAGACTCAGATTCCAGGGTACAACCTGAGACACTGCCCACGAAAGCCCTCCCGAGGCCATGGTATTCTCCATGTGTCTGACAGCTTTGCAGGCCCACAGGGCTCCCCGAGGCCTGGTCAGTCCTCACCCACTTCATCCAGTTGGCCACCCACCCTGGGTGCTGACATTCAAGCGGGCCTGACCCGAGCCCCAGCGGGTCGTGTCGCCTGACAGCCTCAGTGTGCAGCGCCCCCACCCTGGCCCTCAGGGTGGGGGCAGGGGCAGTGGGGGCGGCCGGGCAGGGGGTGCTCTGCGCTGGCTGGGGCCCCTACCTAGCTCCTTGGACGGCTTCTGGATGCCGCTCGGGGGGTCCCCCTTCTGGTGTAAGCTGCCCATGCTCTGGCTCCTCTGCAGTTCAGCCCCCTCACTGGTCCCCTTGGGGTGTCCGGTGGCCACCCCCAAAGGAGGAGCCCCAGCGCCTGGCCGGTGCCTCCTGTACACGGTGGTGGCCTCCTTCTCCATCCTTCTCCTCCCTTCAGGTCTCAGGAAAGAAGAGGGACCCGGCTCTCCAGCACGGCCTCAGACGGAGGGCATGGCTTCCAACCTCTTCCGAGGCGAGCAGCCCAAGAGTGTGCCCAGTGGGCCCCCGTTGCTAAGTGTCCCCTGTGACATCACACAAGGTCAGAGGTCAGAGGTCATCCAGAGCAGCCCTTCCCTTGGGATGCTGGGTTCCCTCCTTTCAGGCCTTCCTGGCTTGTGCCCCAGAAAAGAAGAGGAAGAGGGGCCAGGGGACCTGAGGGGGCAGAGTGGGCACAGAACAAAGCTGGGCAATGGACGAAGAACCCGGAAGTGGGGGTGGGTCTGCGGGCATCTCAGGGGCGGGCAGAGTGTTTTCTCCGCACCCTCGCGACGAGAGGTGCCCTCGGCTTCAGAGGCAGGGCTGCCTGGGGCGGGCAGGCTGGAGCTGCACTGACCAAGAAACCCCACCTAACTCTGCATTTCAGCCTGCGTTTGCTGGCACTGGCATCAGAGCACCACGGCCCGCGTGCCTTAACCATTTCCTTCTAGACTGGAGGCCTCTCTCCCGGGCCTGCAGATGCCTGTCCCGTCCTCACACAGTCGTCCCTCTGGGCACGTCTGCGTGTCTGTGTCCTGATCTCTTCTCACAAGGACCCCAGTCGCACGGGATTAGGGGCCACACTAATGACTTCACGTAACCTTCACGTCTCTTATTTATTTATTTAATTTATTTAAAAGCCAATTTTATTTATTTTTAAATGTATTTTTTAATTGATGTCACAGAGGAAGGGAGAGGGGAGAAAGAAACATCAATGATGAGAGGGAATCATTGGTCGGTTGTCTCAGGCACACACCACACTAGGGATCGAGCCCACAACCCGGGCATGTGCCCTGGCCGGGAACCAGACCGTGACCTCCTGGTTCATAGGTTGACATTGAACCCCTGAGCCACGCTGGCCGGACTTTAACTGCCCCTTTAAAGACCCGACCTCCAAATACAGTCATAGGCTGAGGCACTGGGGGTCAGGGCTTCGCCACATGGTTTTTTGGGGGGACACAATCAGCCCATAACAGAGCCTAACAGAGCATTTCCGATACCCTAACCGAGCACATGGTTTTTCTTTCTCCAATCACCCAAGACCTTGGGGACAACCAGCCGATTGCCCTTGGGGTGCCATGACTATTCAGAATGAAGCGGAAGTGGCTCCCTAATCCCACCTGCACTCTATCGCCTCAAACAAATTGCTTGTGGCATCTTAGCTCACGGGGAGGCCTCGGTCACCAAGCCAAGCGCCAGTGCGGGGACAGACGTGGTGCCCACCTACCCGAGCCCTTCCTCGGCGGCACCTGACCGTGGAGGCCACCGATGAAAGTCACAGCAGTGGGCGCTGAGGGACAGCTCATGCCTTCAGGAGAAAGGAAGGGCAGGTGAAAACAGAGCCAACTGTGACCTGCCACTGGGGTCCTGGGGGAGGGCCTTCTGTTCCCCTATCTGCCTCCCCCTCGACCCCCCGCCCCGGGGTTCCCCTTTCTGCAGCATCCCCAGAAACAGCTGATTCTTCTCAGAACAGCTGACCCAGGCTGGAATTTAAAAAAACACACGATTGAATGAAAGCCAAATGGAGAAAAGAAAGGAATCAGGAAATGAGACTGTGCATTCTTCTCCCCAGAGGGGGGTGGCATCCTAGAGGCCCCCTCAGCTCCTCCCTCTCCCCCTCCAGGAGGGACACCACCTCTGCTCCTGGCACCAGAGGCCTGGAGCCTCCTGCTCCTCCTCTCCTGGGAGGCGGGAGGCAGGCGGCTGGTCCTCGAGCTGGCAGCAGTGTGTTCTCAGACAGTAACACCTTCTCCATCCACTGGAGGGTCCTGGCAGAACACCTTCTGACGGCCCTCAGAGTGCCAACCCCACCCCTTTCCATCCCAGAGCACCATGGCTTCCAGCTCCATCTGAAGCCCCACCCAGGACCTCACCTGTGATCACAGGGGCATCATCCATTTCCCCACCTGCCCAGCTCCATCCCCCCACCTCCCACGTGTGCAGTTATCCGTGGGCACCCCTGGGAAACCAAGCCAGTCCTCAGAAAGAATAAAAGGTCTGTTTTAATCGGAAGGTAAAATACTTCACAAATCATTAGTATCTTATAAACGGAAACATTCAGTTACAAATCCATGTTAAAAATCGCAATTCGGTGCAGCCTAATAGCTCTGTGTTCCAACGTTTATTTTTTGCAAGATTTTTCTCCCCCTTTTTTTGTGACAAGTGATGTTATTATCTGGCATCTAGATGGAGTTTGAAGGACAGAACTTGCAAACAGAACGGGGTTGGCACGAGGGCACGTGGTCCTGTGAGTTTGAACAGTGCTGTCCAAAGCCGTGCCTGCAGCTGTGAGGACCGACTGGGAAAAATCAGCAAACAGCTCCCCTGGCGTCGAACCCCACCCCCGCCAACGGAACGCAGCCCCCACCGCTGCTTCCACGGGCTTCTCAGAAACACCGAGCAATACCAACCCCGGGGTCCAGGGGGCGTCTGCACAGCCGAGTGCCTCCCCTTTCAAGTTGAGGATTTCTCCCCTTGTGGGTTTCCTGTGGAGGACCTGTAACTGGCTCCCCTTCCCTTTTTGCCTGCTCTGGCACCCTCCCCTTCAATGAGTCCAGGTGTGGATGATCCGAGTTATTTCATATCAAAGAGCTAATTAAAAACGTTAAGAAAATCAGCTTGAAAATAATGCACATTTCTATTTTTAAAATATTCCCCAAACTTCTACTTTTAAGCCCCACTGACAGCACAACAACACAACTGGTGCTTGAAGTGGGGCCTGGCGGACACCAGCTCCGCCTCTCAGCGGCCCAGGGGCGTTGTGGGCTGGGGGCTGTCTCAGCAGACAGCAGAGAGGGATTCTGATCCCCAGGAGAGAAGCCTGGAGCCCCTCCGCCCGGGGAACTCTCTGCAGAAGAACCCTGTATCCCCAAAATATCAAGAGCATCCTCAAACTGGGACCTCCGTGCAGTTCTGCACATCCTGACCACAAAACTCGGGCTGGGGGCTGTCTCAGCAGACAGCAGAGAGGGACTCTGATCCCCAGGAGAGAAGTCTGGAGCCCCTCCCCCCGGGAACTCTCTGCAGAAGAACCCTGTATCCCCAAAATATCAAGAGCATCCTCAAACTGGGACCTCCGTGCAGTTCTGCACATCCTGACCACAAAACTGACCCTCTAGCCGGGAACATCATCAACATCGAAAGCTGAAACCAGGAGCCGCCTGCCCGCGGCGCGGGGACAGCAGGCTCCTGGGAAAAGAATAATGCTTGAACCTCCGGCTGCGCGGAGGCAGGCTCCTGGCAGGCCCCGCAGAGGCCAGCGAGGCAGCAGTGCACAGGAGACAGAAGCACTCTGGCAGGGCGCACGCGTCCCGCACCCGGTCCAGAAAGGCCAGCTCAGGGCACCTGCCCAGCAGCGTGAATAAAGTGCGTGGCAGCCACGGGAACAGCCCAGGAGAGTCTCAGACGTTCTGTGAGCTTGACGCTTGTCATCTAAGCGAGCGAGGAATGTGGATCCCTTGGCTTCCTCACTCTGCCTTCTTGTCCGTCTCCCTCCTGCGCAGACTGTGGGGTTCCTGGTGCAGCTCACAGCGCCCTCCTGGGGCAGGACGTCCTCCAGGCTTTAAATGGAATGGGTGGAGACCTCTGACTGCTGCCTGATGTAGCTCTGAAAACTCTTATCTCCGATGGGGTGTTCCCTGCAAAGGGGAGATGGGGGAGAGGAGAACATGAGGTACAGCCCTCCATCGCCCGTGCTCATCTGCACTTTTTAAGAGTCTCTTTTCTAGCCCTGGCCAGTTTGGCTCAGTGGATAGAGCGTCGGCCTGCAGACTGAAGGGTCCTGGGTTTGATTCCGGTCTAGGGCAGATACCTCGGTTGCAGGTTCCTCCCTGTCCTGGGCTCTGGTCCGGGCACATGCAGGAGGCAACCAATTGATGTATTTCTCTCTCATATTTCTTCTTGTCCTTCCCTCTCTCTTCCAACTCTCTCTAAAAATCAATGGAAAAATATCCTCAGGTGAGGATTAAAAAAAATAAGAGACTTTTTTTCTATCTATATATGTGATGTGTATTCTTTGTAATTAATATAAAAAATATAGACAAGCAAAAGAAGACTTAGCCCAAAGCCACCTGTGGAGGCACCCACTGTGACCCTAGTCACAGTGTGTAGGTCTCATGCGCACACATGACCGTGTGCATAGAGCGTGTGCCATGCACCCACACGTGTGTGGGAACCCTGCGCTCCACAGGGGCACGGTGCTGTCTGCTGAATGCCTGGTCCCAGGGTCGCAGGCACCCGGTCCTGAGCTGCCCAAGTGCTTGCACAGCTGCTGACACAGAAGTAGGATGCGCTCCAGGCTGTTTTAACCTCGGCTTTACCATGTGTAATCAACCTCGGCTTTACCATGTGTAATCAAAGACAACATTTTTAGGTCTACGCAGCTCTCTCTGACAGCGACAGCGGGGTGTAAAGAGAATCTGGAAGGCCATTTGAATGTCTATGGCAGGGGTCCTCAAACTTTTTAAACAGGGGGCCAGTTCACTGTCCCTCAGACCGTTGGAGGGCCGGACTATAGTTTAAAAAAAAACTATGAACAAATTCCTATGCACACTGCACATATCTTATTTTGAAGTAAAAAAACAAAACGGGAACAAATACAATATTCGTATTTGCATGTGGCCCGCGGGCCGTAGTTTGAGGACCCCTGGTCTACGGAGCCAGGATGACTCATCTAGGAGCAAAGAAGAATCAGCGACCCTGGGAGGTGCTCGCTGGGCGCTGGGTGCCGGGCTCTTGGGAGCAACTGGTCAAAGGAGGCACCTCTTGCAGAGCCCTTCACTCCCCTTCCCAGAGCAAACCCACACCTGCCAAGAAGGGAGGGAGGAAGGGAGGGAAGGAGGGAGCGGGGAGGGAGGGGGCTGGAGGAAGAGAGGGAGGGACAAGACAAAGATGGGGGCCAGTCCATCAGAACTGGCCTCAAGAGAGGGGAAAAGGGCCAGCAAACTGGGGGAGAGGAGAACATGAGGTACAACCCTCCATTGCCTAATTCTGAAAGTGAATGTGTTGGGAAGGCAGGAGGGGAGAAGGGAGAGAGTGCTGCTCCCAGGACACTGCCCAGAGGGCCCGGAGAGTGAGGCGAGCCCTGCTCTGAAGGAGCTGGGAAGCCTGCACAGTCCGCACGCTGCACACCGCAGTCCGCACGCTGCACACCGGTGGCTCTGGGGCAGGCAGCACCCTCCTCCCCCCGGGAGCTCCCTGCAGTCTCTCCCCCAGGCCCCCACACCCTTGCCGGGACTTCCCACGCACCCGGGCGCCATACTCACTGGCTCCCATACTTGGTCTTCTTGAACTTGTCCCTTTTGTACTGGGCGTGCTCCTGCTCCAGGGCCCCGACCCTGGCGATGACCTGCTTCAGTGTCTTGTAGGTTTCCTGGGGGTCATCGATGATGAAGGTCAAGTACTCCTCTTGCTCTGGGCCGTCGTACACAGATCTGCTCCCACAGGCCTCTGCACCGTTGGGGACAGGGCGGAGGTCAGTGCTCGGGGAAGCATCTGGACTCCTCAGTAAGGCTGACCATTCACAGGCAAAGGCCCCAGAAACAGCAGCCGTTCCTAACAGCCTGGCGGACGCTGAGTGCTGGGGGACCCTGCAGGGCCAGAAAGCCAGGGCCCAGGAACCGAGGCCTCTGCGGGTCCAATGCCCCCTCGCCAGGCCCCAGCCCCTCTCTGACAGCCCTGCCCCTGGGTGACCTGCATCCATCCAGGCCCCACCGGCTCATCAAGCCGGGAACAGCAGACGTCTGTCTGCTCCAGGACACTGGGCCAGGCTGGCTCGAGGGCCTGTGGGGTCGGACATAGTCAGGCTGGGGAGGTGAGCTCAAGGACGTCCCCTCTTGGCCAATCTGTGCAGGCGGTTTCCTCAGACCTCCACCCCCACCTGCTCAGCAGGTAGCTCTCTCCTTTGACACCTCACTCCCGCTGAAGACCATGCTGCCTGCAGCGGTCAGGCTGGGGAGGTGAGCTCGAGGACGTCCCCTCTCGGCCAATCTGTGCAGGCGGTTTCCTCAGACTCTATCACCCCCACCTGCTCAGCAGGTAGCTCTCTCCTTGGACACCTCACTCCCGCTGAAGACCATGCTGCCTGCAGCCGCCCGTGATCCACAGGAGGCATCCAGATACCTGAACTGCAGCAGCCCACCTCCTGGCCCCTAGCACCCGGCCCCGGCCCCTCCCATCTGCCCGACAGCTATGCTGGGCCCTGTGCTCCAGGGCCACAGAGAGACCAGGTGGGAAGACGTGTGCTTTGCAGGACGCCTGGCCCGGCATCAGGAGGGCCCCTCGCCTCATCGTCCTCTGTCCATTATCACAGAAAGCTCTGTGATCCTGCTTCTGCTCAGGGGAAACCTCTGGGTTCTAATTGAAAAGTCACAAGTCTGCGCAAAGGAAGATGGCAAAGATGTAAAATTTCAGAGAAAAAGGGGGTGTGGCAGGAGGAAGACAAGGGGCCCTCAACGTGAGGGACAACAGAGTGGAGAAGAGGAGCCCAGGGCCCCCCACCCCAGCCACTGTAACTGCGTGGCTGGCTCTGGGCAAGTTACTTAAGCGCCAGAGCCTCAGTTAACCGGTGCCCCCCGAGTCTCCTGAGCCCCCAGTGGGAGTGGGAGCTGTGGCGGCTCGTAACGACAGAGGGAGGGATAGGTGCAAAGGACCGTCACTGCCACATGGACAGGTCAAGAGAGCTAAGACCTGAGTAAGCAAACGTCTGTGAAGCTGGTTAAAGAAGCAGAAACAGAAGGTGGTCCTCATTGCCAGGACAGGTGTCTGGGCTCAGATGCGGAGGAGAGTCACCAAAGGCCAGCAGGACGGATGCTGGTGACGGGAGAAGCACACAGGCACCCGGCCCCAGCCCTCCTCAGCTCCAGGTGCTGTGCTCACTGCCTCACGGAGTTTGTTCCCCTCAGTCCTCGAATTAAGCCAACGGGCTGGTGGCGGTGCTGCCCCATTTCGCAGGAGAGGAAGTCAGGGCTTGCCCGGTGATCGACTTGCCTGGTGAGTGACTTGCCCCGTGTGTCTCAGAGCAGAAGCCAAAGCTGGCTCTGCATCGAGGCCTCTAAGTCCTGGAAGAACTCCATCCCAGGCACCACGGAGTGTGGTCTGTGCGGGGAGCGCTGGGAGGACCTGGGAGAGGCCAGGCCCTGAGGACATCCAGCACTAAGGGGGGTTGAGGGGCTTAACTGCCGAGACCACAAAGAAAGAGGAGCTGTAAGCCACACACCTATCAGATGCAAAATTCTTGAATGGATTAGTAAATAGATTATGAGCTAAGCCCAGGAAGGAGAAAACAAAACCAACATCAACTAGAACAGATCATGGTAAGCACACTACTTCCTCTTTAAAAGGGTTTATAAAACCCAGACTTAGGGAAATGCCTAGAGTGTGTGCATGTTGGTTTCAGCAAGGCCACTGACACGCTTTCACAAAGTAGCCGGGAACAGGACACAGCGCCAGACGACGGGACAGGTGCTGACCATCCACGGTCCCAGGCACTAACCTGTCTCCCAAGCAGATGCCTAACCTGCAGAAGGTGCCAACGACAGCACCAGACGCAGGCCAGGGAGGCTCAGAGGGGCTCGCAGGCATGTCTGGGAGAGATTGTGGGTTCGCCTCCAGACCACCATAAAGTGGATATTGCAATAAAGTCACGCTAATTGTTTGGTTTCCCAGTGCATACAAAGGTCATTTCACTACACTGTGGTCTACTATGTGTGCAATAACATTATGTCTAGAAAAATCAATGTGCAAACCTTAATTAAAATTATTTTATGACTAAAACATGCTAACTGTCACGTGTGCCTTCAGCGAGTGGTGATCTTTCTGCTGGTGGAGGGCCTTCCCTGATGTTGATGAAAACACAGCCCCTGGGAATCATAATACAGTGAAGCACAACAAGACGAGGTCTGCCTGCACTTCCCCAAGTCACTCTGCAGAGCGTCCCACGTGTCGCCTGGGCCAGGCGTCCCCCGCGTGAGAGGCTGACCCCGTCCTCACCTTGCATCTTCTCCAGTTTGCTCATGTACAGGTTGAACAGGGAGTAGATGCGCTCTGTCTCTCGGTCCCCGTCGATGTCCAGTTGGATGTTTGCTGGGAGGCCGCTGCTCGAGCACAGTGAGAACGGAGAGCACAGGGCTGTTAATCATGGCATTGACTTTTTAAAAGACCACTGAAGATGACAGAGTGATCCAACACTGGACTCATCCCCGACGGGCATTTGTGTGTGATGTGTGAAATAATTCACCAGCACTGAGCAGTGACCATCTGCCAGGATAGCAAGCAAACAAGGCAGACTTATTTTGCCATGAAAGGACCCAGAATAAAAATATGCACTTGGGCTGTGTGCCCTGAAGGGTCGGTTGGCTGCCCCAGGTAGGGACAAGCGGGTCCCCTCTCCTTCCCGAGGCCCCGGTGGGCGCCTGCTCCTGCCTGAGGGTACAGCAGCACCCAGACACAGCACCCAGCCTCTCTGGGGAGACAGGCGAGGGCTGGGGCACAGACTCCTGCACAGCAGGAACTTAGCCCTTATCCTGAGTCTTAGCTTCTTTGCCTGTGAAGCTGCATGTCCTGTTTCCGCCTCTGAGAGCTTTGGGGGGCTGCGTCACAACCACAACAAACAGCAGTTGGCACTTTTCTCACAAGTCACATGGGGCACAGGGACAGGCCAGTGTGAGTCACCAGGCCTCCCTCCAGGATGGCAGAGAGGAGCCTCTCAAGACCGTCAGGCGGCCCAGCTAATGGAGGGGCTGGAAACGAGGGGCTGTCTTGGTTCCCAAAGGTGGGGAGTGTCGACTGGAGAAATCGAAGGGGGTGCATCAGGAGGGCAGAGCGCTCGCAGGGTCTTAGAAGAAACAGGCAGAAAAGCCTGCCCCTGGGGGACCCCTCTCTGCCTGGAGCCCCCTCCTCATTGCCACCCGCTCTGCAAGGATGGCACGCACCCCCGGCAGGGGCAGGAGAACCCAGGCAGGCCCGGAGCTCCTGCCAGGCTACACAGTCTGCAGGGGCTCCCTGGGTGGAGGCTCAGCCTGCGGGTGTGCAGTTGGCTGAGTGGGTGGGGACTGCATCTTAGCCCCAACTTGACCCCTTGACGAAACTTCCCTGAAGGGTGCATAAACCGGGTAACTGTGCTGGGCTACCCCGGGCGGCTGGGGGCTGGAAACCCGCAGACCTACCCGGTGCACGGGGAGCAGCCGGGGGCCGTGTCGGAAGAGGCCCTGCAGCACAGCCAGTGGCCGTTGAGGTAGGCGGAGGGGTGGTAGACGGTGAGGCGCTTCTGGTTGCACTGGCTCACTTTGGTGAGGATGTCGATCCAGGCCTTGGCCTCCACGCAGTTGTTGGCCTGGATGTACAGCGCCCGCTCCGGCTGGATGACCTGGAACATCTGGGGAGATGGAGAGTGGGCTCGGGGGCCGCCCAGCAAGGACCACGGGTCATGATCGTCAATGCCTACACACCCAGGGGCTGCAGCGAGAGGGTCTGAAACTGACCCAGAGGCAGACAAGTCCAGTGGCTGCCGTGGGTGCAAAGGGCTTTCTGCTGCCCTTGAACTTGAAAACAGAGCTGAAGCCGCTGCCCTGGGGGAGGCAGGCGCAGCAGGAGCCATGGTCAGCCTGGCCAAGGCACTTCCTTCCTGGGGGTCAGGGGTCTCCATTCGAAAGGCAGGAGCAGCACCACTTGTCTCGCCCATGGGGCCTCCCAAAGCTGACTGGGGCCTTAACAAGGCACATTCCCTGCAAGGCACATCAGAGTTCATGCTGCCCACCCTCCCGTCCTCCTCCCAGCTCTGCCTCCATCCGAAAGGCCTGGGGACTCTTCTTCCTCATTCAGGCAGGTGTTGCCTTCTCAGAGCCGTCACTCCTTTCCTATTTATTATTCACTCAACAAACTGCCCTCGGTCCTGGGACACAGTGTGGGCAGAGAGTTTTTGCCCTCGTGAGCTTCCAGCCGGCAGGAGAAAATGAACACAAGATGCAGGGGCTGAGTGAGGGCAGCCCAGCGGGAGGTCAGTGTAAATGCTCAGAATAAACACTCCTCCAGAGAGCAGCAGGTTAAGGGTTAAACTGAGTGGGGAGGGCAGGGATGGACAGTGTCCCGGGCAGCAGGGACAATAGGCGCCAGGTTCTGAGCATCAGGAGCAGGCCAGCTGCACACAGAAGGGGGTTACGGGGGAGGTGGGCAGGCCGAGCCCTGGGAGGCTGTCACACGGGACTTGTCAGAGGGTGTGAGGGGAGGCCAGGAGTCAGGGTGCCACAGAAGGGTGACAGTGGCCTCCCCCAAGGGCTGGTGGTGAGCACCGGGAGGAGGAAGGAGCAGAAGCCGGTGGATCTGGGAGAGGGAGTTGTGAGTCCACGTTCCTGAGTGACTAGTCGGGGCTCATTGCCAGAGACCAAGTGCCCCATCCAGCCTGGCACACACGCACCACTGCCCAGGCCTCAGACGCGCGCATCTGGGCACGGCTCCAGTCCGCAGTGGAAGGACGGCCGCTAGAAGGAGGCATTTTGTCCTAACTGTCCTCACGGACTGGCCCCTGCAACAGGGCTCGGAACACAGCAAACCTTCAAAAAATCTCTCAGATGGAACAGGACGTGAGCCTAGTAGGTAGCGCCCTGGGAAGCTGGCTGTGAGGAAGGCAAGAGGAAAAAGCAGGCTGATGAATAAACAATGCTAAAATTGGGGAATTATTCTAAACCTAAATTCAGGGCCTGACGAACGAAACAGCTCCCAGCTGCTTCCAGGACGTTTCCACACTCGTGTCCTTGGTGGATGTCTGGGAATGCCTCTGGCGGAGGGCGGGCGTTGCCAGCCCCCATCTCGGAGAGGGCGAGGCCCAGACACGCTCCAGGGAGCTGCCTGCAGAGGAGGCGGGCCTTCCAGCTCACGGAGCAGGTGCGATAGTGTGAACATCCCCAGGTCCAGGGAAGAACCCACGTCTGCCACGGGCCATCTGCTCGCCCAATAAGTGGCCTCAAATAGTCCTGGGGAAGGACCAGGAACTGGGCAGGCCCTGACCGGTGTGGTTAGTGTGGTTGGAACATTGTCCCAAACACTGAGAGGTCATGGGTTCAATTCCCAGTCAGCATACATACCCAGGTTTCGGGTTCGATCCCTGGTCGGGGCGCATCGGGAGGCAACCGATCTATGTTTCTCTCTCACATCGATGTTTCTCTCTCCCCCTCTCCCTTCTTCTCTAAAATCAATAAAAACATACCCTCCGGTGAGGATTTTAAAAAAAATAAAGAAAAGAAAACAGAGCAGGGAGCAGGAGCTGCTGTCTGAGCATCCAGAGCATGCAGGGTGGAGCCACCCCTTCACCTGTGCAGCAGGCTGGGAGCTGACCTCAGACCCAGCAGAAGTGTAAGCACCGTGTGACTACTCAGCCCTGGCCCAGCAAAACAGACTCCCATGTTCCCCACAGACCCAGTGCGGCCTTAGGCACCTACTGAATACCCGAGCGTTGAGTTGTGCCAATGAGCGAGGTGGGCAGACACAGGAGAGGGAGGAGGACGGGTCAGCTCCCTGGCAGCTCCGGGAGCAGAGCCTGGCCTGAGGTCCCGTGCTGTGCGCCATGAGCCTGGCGTCTGTCGCAGAGCCGGCTGAGCGAGGAAATGCCGCTGGATGCAGAGGCAGCGAGCAATGGGCCGGGGTGCTGTGCAAGCAGGTCCTCCTCCCGGGGCAACGGGACCCCAGCCCCTGAATAAAATGGGGCCCTGGGAGTCCTTACAGTCCCAACTAATGAGTGCCAGCCTCCCTGGGGGAGAAGGAAGAGCCGTGCACAGTCGAGAGCCAATGAGAAGCAGCGAGGGAATGACAGTCAGAGAGTCTTCGCGGAGGGGAGGACTTGAGGAGAAGCAGGACACTGACAGCCCAGTGTGTCTCCCACGGCCACTCACTCACTATGAGCCCAGCCCCCTGAGAGGACGCACCAGCGACCAGGGCCTCCGGGATTCCCGACGGAACCCATGACCCGACCATGCCCAGCGACCACCTGACACACCCAAACCGAGGGATGTCCACAAAAACTGGCCTGCATGCCTCAAAAATGCCACGGCCACAAAACAGGGGTAAGGACCGAGGAATGTTCCAGATTAAGGAGACGCCAGAGAAACAACAGACCATGTGGCTCTGGACTGCGTGCCAGCCTGGGGGCGGGGGGTGGGGGGGAACAACAGCTATAAAGAATGTTACTGGGACAACTGGCAGAATTTAAATACAGACTGTGGGCTAGTGGTGCTAGTGCATCAGCTTGGGCGTCCTGGCTTGGCTACTGTATGCGATTGTATAAATGTCCTTGTGTTTAGGAAATACACGGAAGTATTTACATGGTGCAGGAAAAAAATATGTACATCCTCCATAGAGAGAGGAGGAGGGAGAATGAAGGAATATGCTCAGCAAATGGGACAAAACCAGTGACTCTGGGTTAGGGGACATGGGAAGTCCGTGTTCTAGTCTTACTTTTCTGGAAGTTCAAACTAGATCAAAATAAAACATTTCAAAGAAATTCCACACGGTCCCAGAGCCTGCCCCTGGCGTCCTTTAACAGAGGGTCCTTGGACCCCCGGGGACACCAGGGAGGCCATCGTCCCACAGGTTCTCCTGCCTCAGCCGACAGGCAGGGCCAGCCAGGCTGCGGGGCTCCCAGGTCAGACGCAAAGCCACACAGCGCCTTGTAGACACCCAGGCAGGGCCCCGAGAGGAGAGGCCGGGGCGGCGGGCGTGAGTGGGAGAGGAGAGCGATGCCCGGAGGAGCGCCTGCAAGGGCTGCACTCACGTTCTTCATCTTGAAGGACTCCTCCTCCAGTTTCTCCACGGCCAGAATGTTCTCGATGGGAATGCTGTAGAGGGGCTGGTCTCCTGCGGCGAGAGGGGTTAATGAGTGCAGGCCCAGAGGTCGTGCTGGGTTAGGAGGGTTAGGTCTCCCCTCTTTAGGTGAGAAGGCTAAGGAACTGACAGGCCACAGGCACAGGGGGCGGAGGGGCAGTGGTCAGAGGAGGCCTGGAAATGGGACCTCTGTGTCCACAGAACAACAGAGCCTCAGCTCCCAGCAGCACCCAGGACTGTCTCCAGGAGCCATGTCCCCACGTTATTATGGGGAGAGACTACTTTCTCACCATTCCCTGACCTAAACCGGAGCCATTTCAGATCCAGGAGAACACAGCCAAAGTGGAATAAGACCCGTGAGACCCTGATTCCTACACCTGGCGGCATGGTGCCCGCCTGCGCCCCTCCCGCTCCCCACCGGGCCGCCCCCGTGGATGTCGCCCCTGCTCTCCTGTTTACAGAAACTGCCCACGTTGGGGAGCACACCTTCTCTGCTTTCAGTTTCACTCCAGAAAAGCAGAGGGTAACCCCAACTGGGACTTAGACAAGGCCCTGGTCCCTCGGAATAAAGGTATGTGAAAAGAAGGGGAGAGAGAGACCAAGATGGCGGCATAGGTAAACACCGCAGACTGCTGCCACAAACAACCACTTCAAAAATACAACTAAAAGACGGAACGGACATCACCCAGAACCGCAGGAAGGCTGGCTGAGGAGAGACTCTTCAACTAGAAGGAAAAATAACAGCACACCGAGGCTCAGAGGAGGCGCAGTGTGGAAAATACTCAGGTGCGGAGGTGCGCGCGCAAAGCGGGCTGGTGGCTGAGAGCGCGGTTGTCGTTTTCGGTCAGGGGGGAGTCTCAGACTCTGAGCTCCAGATACGGGCGAATCGCTGGGGACTCGGACCCAAACGGGAGAAGCGGGAGTGTCTGGCATCAGTTGGAAGGCAGCTTTCCCTCCGAGGTTTGCAGCGGTTCCGGGGGTTCTGAGAAGCAGAGCCTCTGGGAACAGGACTGAGGGCACCATAACGGCTCCCTCCGCCCGCCCTGTTGAGCCCGCCCCGCCCAAGCCCTGCGTGTTTTCCGATGGTCTTAGGTGACCCCTGTGAAAGAATCTAAACATATTTCCAAGTGATAGATTTAAAAAATCAAAAGGCCAATGTCTCTACTTTAGTGAAGTTTAGCCCCCCCTGCTGGTGATAACTGTAAATTACAAGTTGGTGAGGGCTTAGCCCTCCAGCAAAGCAGCTACCCCTCCCCACCTCCCACACTGAAATATTGGCAAGATGCTTCCAGAGAGCACGCCTGGCAGCAGCCTCAGAGACACAAAAGTGTGCTCTGGGGAGCAAAGCTGTGGGGTTGGGGGGGCACCTGCTTAGGTGCGATGCTTTAGTCTCCCCACAGGAGGACACTTCAGGAATGAGGGGCTTGGGAGGGGAAGGTAAGGCCTGGAACTCAGGTGTGCATGAGCCAACTGTGCATGAACCCCCGACTAGTCAGGGGTCATTCAGGCTCTCATTCCCCTTTCCTCCCGGGACGGGCATTTCTCCACTGCAAATTCAGCAGAGAACAGGCATGGAGAAATGAGAGTAACCACCACCACGTTTAGACCTGCCCTGGGCTGGGGAGTTTCAAAGTGGCCCCAAAGGGTCTGTGCTGCCTCTGACTGGGGAGACCCCCAGCCCCGGGGGCAGATCTGCCCCACTTCCCGGCTGAGACAGACGGGGAGCGCCTGCCGCCTGCAGTTCTCTCGCTGCCGTGGCTCCGCCAGCCTTACCCTTCCTTGAGCAGGATGGGCTGCTCCACGCTCTTGGGGTCCCTTCTCCCAGAGGAGGAGATCAGATCTAAGAACTGAAGTGGGAAAGAAACCGGATCATTACCAGGGGAAATGGCGTGCCTGAACACACTCATTCTTACGTATAAATGATGTCACGGATGCTGTGTCCCCTTCTGACACCAGGAGAGAGAGAACCTGAGGGGCAGGTGCCAGGGCAGGGGGCCCTTCTTGGAGATCGTGGGGACACCGTGCTGGTCTCCACTGTGGCTAAGAAGCTTTCAGCCCCCACCTGGACTTCCTGCTGGCTCCTCCCGGGCAGGTCTCACTGGACTTCAGGTAACACCTGGAGGTCTACCTGCCTTTCCACAGGTGACCGGGGCATGCATCTCTCCTGGAGTTTGAAGCACTGCAGGCTCCCCTCCCTGGCCATCTTCATCCCCTTGTGGTCTTGCTCGGGCTGGGGCTCCCTGATCAATTCAACTGTCCCCCGGCCTGTCTGGATTCCTTCCATCAACTGGCGGCTGCCCCCTGCTCCTCTCCTTCCTCCCCTTCTAGGTTATGGCTTTCATGATTTCTGAGCAGTAAATACGTATAACTGCTTCGGATCTGGGAGAGTTTCCCCCAAGCACGCTGTCCTTAACTCAGGGCCTGGGGTCCCGGGGCTCTGTGATTCGCCGGCACCAGGGGCAGGTGGCTGGGGCCGGGCAGGGCATGGGCATTTGTGGAACAAAAGGAGGAAAGCGTCTATGAAGGTACGTAGAGAGAGAATTTAGTCACGTAGAGAGAGAATTTAGATGTAAAATTCTATGTGGGCAGGGCATGGGCGTTTGTGGAACAAAAGGAGGAAAGAGTCTATGAAGGTATAATGCTCAGTCACGTAGAGAGAGAATTTAGATGTAAAATTCTATGATGAGGGCCCCCCCCCATCAGATTCCAAAGAAGAGTGGTGGGTGTAGGAGTCGTTTACAGCCCCTGTGGTGAGCATGGGCACACGATACCGCGAATGGACCAGTCTGAAACGTTTCAAATGGCAAACGGTCGCTTTTATGTTACTCAAATTTAAACTCAATATTTTTTAAAAGCAACTCTGTTTCTTAGAAACAACATAAAATAAGGGTGGGGTAAGTCTATGTTCGTTGATGTTGGTACTCACATTTTTTACAGCATCAGCATATTTCTGCTCATTGAAGAATTCGTAAAATGCAGCCATGTAGGATTCCTTAAAGCTGGCCTGAAATGAAGCAGGTCACTTAACAAAGGCCTACAGGTCTCCTGGCTCATGGCCCAACTCTAAAGACTCTAGCGGCAGAGACTGCAGCAAGCCTGTTACGGTAACTAAATGGAGGGAAGATGCTAGGACCGCTGGGGTGGGGGAGGGAGGGGAGGTAGGTACTGCTCTGGAAGCTAATCCAGGTACTTAAATCAGACCTGAAATCACAGAAGCACGCTAAAACGTTCACAAGAGACGAATTCCACTTAAGTGGTGTTTTAAGAGCTAACTATATGGCTCAACCCCCTTCGACGTGTGTTCACTGACATCTGGGTTCCAGGTCTATGAAGTTTATGCTGTACCCAGGCATGGTCGCTGGGATGGAGCCTCGCCTGTGACCGAGGGGCACGGACATGCGTCGGGGCAAAGCGCAGTAACTCAGAAGGGCCTGTAAACGACCATCCCCATGCCCCAGCCCAGTTAGCATTGCTTTCATAGGGAGGTCACTCTGCTCTTTCTGGATGTGAACATGAGGTGGGTTTTGCGCAGACCCTGACTGGCAGGCGCCTGTTTATCTGAACTTCCAGCCAACGGAAACTGGGTTGGTGATGGAGGGAAGCGATCGGCGCACCTTTTGCTTCACTCAGATTCAGAGAGAGCCAAGCATTGGCCCCAAAGCTGCGCTGAGGAGACTCGGTCTCTGAACCCATACACAGGAGTGCGCCTGCCGCCGTCCCGCAGGGGACAGTAACGTACCGCCTGCCATCCTGATTTCCCCTCAGAAAGCCACGTTTCACAGCCCGCAGTGCAGAGGCGCTTGGCTAGGGCTGGAATTCTACCTCCTAAGCTGGTGCGGGAAGATGCCTGGCAGGTTCTATTGTTCTTTATCCTTATAAATGCACTAAACACACACTCTTTTGTTACAAAGAAGATGATTAAAAGACATCACTTACAGACTTTGACTTGGATAAGCTGCCAAGAGTCTGAATAGTCTTTGAGATAAGCGTCAGCGTCCTAGACGTCTGTGGGTCCTGCCAGACGGGAGAGAGAAAGGCGAGTTTCGCTTCGGTTTTACAGAAATGCTTGTGGTTGAGCCCAGCATTGCACAGCCAGCAAAATGAGTGGCATCCCTATAAGCTGCATGTTGTCTGTGAGTGAACCGTAAACACACAAACACTGGATTCGGAGAAGTTCACCTGGACCCTTCTACTCTGCGTGGTCTGGGAGTTGCTAGAAATGCAGGCTCTCCAGACCCAGACCCCGGCACTTCCACAAAGCATGGATGGCTCCCCAATGGCCACGTGTGAAAAGAGCTGCTGGATATCACTTAGTCGGGAGCATCTTGAACGTAGCGGCATCCCTGTCCCGTTACCATGCCCTGTTCTGTGACTCCCAGGTCACCTCTCTTACCTTCACATGGTTGTAAGTTTAATTTAGAACCAACAGAACCAGGAATGGGCCCGTCACCCTGGACTTTCCACCAAACACTGCCCACACCTGGCACTTCCTTTGCTGATGCATCACTGACATCAGCTCTGGGAAAGCCCAGAACCTGGCACATACGGGTGCTCAATTATCATCTGGTGCTTGACTGAATAAATGACTGCATATACACAAGATGATAAATACCCAATTTTTCCCATGGGGAGAGGAGAACGTAACAGCAGTCAGCAGTTAAAACCTGGTCACAGCATCCATGTTTGAACTGACATAACCTAGGAAAGTCGCTAAAGTCCTTGTCGATGAAGGAGGCAAGGGCGTGTGGCATGTTCACAACCCCACCGCCATGGAACCGTTGTTTCTCCACCTCCATAGGCCTGGCAACGAGTCTGGCCTGGGCCACCGTCACCTGCTGGTACAGGAGGGCTGGGTCCCAGCTTGCAGGGCTGGGGCTCACTTACCGTGTGGTGAGGCGTGAGCTGGAAGAGGTTGGGGGACAGGATGGCAGGCGCGAAGAACCTCAGGAAAATGAAGCTGCTCACCGCCGTGTACCTCACGTCCAGGTCATCTGCAGCCAGGGCACAGAGAGCCAACTCAACGGGCTTCCTACAGAAGTGGACCGGGGCGAGGGGCTGCACCCCAGAGCCCCTGCTCCACCCAGGGCCCCCCGAGGCAGAGGTGCTGGCCCGCGGCTCTCCTGGACCCACTGCCTCTCTCCTTCCCTGTCTCTCTCCCTCTCTATCTCTGTTTCTCCCCCCCTCTCTCCCCCTCACTGTTATTAATAACACCGTCTGGCAGTTGGGCTGTAACAGACACGACCCGCTCACCGGGCCCTAGTGGCCTTACAGGGAGACGGCTCATTATTGGGCGGGTCACTCACATCGGGGATGGGAGGATATGGTCTGTTCATTATTTATTTACTTCCTTCCATCTTGTCCCAAAGAGGATCAGAGGCTTGGTGTGCTTGGTAACTGCCCGTCCCAGACACGGGGTTCCTTTTTGGCCCTAGAAGGAGCCCGAGCTCTGAGAGCAGGAGGTCCTGGCCGGGCTCAGCTATGGAAGCTGAGCTGCCCCAGCAGGTGGAGGGAAGGGGCTGGGTTCACCTGGGGACCTTCTGTCTGGGCACAGGAACTGCTCTGCACGGAGACTGAGGTTTCAGCGGTTCCCAAGGCAGCAGGTCACGTCTGGGCTGATTCATGGGCTCCCAGGGATGGAGGAAGCGACTTAGGGATGTGCTCACTGGATCAGGCAGGGGCCAGGTACCAAGTGGTCTGAGCTGGTGAGTGCCCTGTACCCAGGTCCTTGGTTAACGTGACCCCTCCCACAGGGCTGGATGCCATGGCAGCTCTGGGCGCCTCCCCAAGGAATCAGCATAAAGAGGGGGCTCATCCCTGGAACCCTTCCAGTCCCAATTCATCCTGTCTTTCTTAGAAATATAGCCAGGCAGAGTTAGGTGGCACAGAGCACCAAGTGGCGACACAGTGGACTGAAGTAGGAAACTGCCAGAGGACCCGGATGGGCGGCTTCCTGACTGCATAAACCAGACCCAGGTAAGTAGACACTGTTCCACTGGACGAAACTCGGCCTACTGCCTGGTGTGGGGCCGGAGCCCTAGCTCACCCAGGGACAGGCGCAGACGGGGACTAGGGCGCTCTGCCCGCAGACATGCATGGAAAGGGATGCATGCTGACACCTGAGCTCTGGCCTCTTTATGGGGCTCTGAGACGCCCCTTCTGTGCTTTGAGGCGTCTGGTGCAGAGGAAGGGAGCCACCTAGGGAGGGGCTGTAGGTGTTTCCTGCTGGCTGAGCGTATCCGGAGCACTCACCCTGGAAGCGCTTGGCAGCCGCCTCTCGGAGGGAAAAGAAAATGTCACACATGACCGTCGGGCAGCTCACCCCCGACTTGGTGATGACGTTGAAGATGCGGTCGACATACTGCCGCAGGTTCTCCTGCAATGAGATGTGGGTGGGACACCCCAACAGTGCTCATGTGGACCCGACTCTCTCCCAGGCTGCATGGAGCACCTCAACCACATGGGGAGGGAGCACGTCCAGAGGTCAGGGACCAGCCCAGAGCAGCCTCGGGGAGCCGTGGCAGCAAAAGATACAATTCCCATCATGGTTTTTAAAAAAACCCTCCTAAAATATGTACTGACTAGTTATAGTAATTCATATAGTGCAAATAATAGGGGTTCTGGGGTGTGGGGAAAGCCACACCATGTCCCCTCCTCCGTGCCTGACCTCATTAACTAAACACAGTCAAATTCACTGAAGTGTAAGTTCCTGAAGGTGAGAACCATCTTTTTTTTTTTTTAAGGCACGACAAAGACATCGCCTGATCTGGATGGAGAAATCATAAAAAAAAAAACTGGAACATTTAGGGTGAAATGTCAAAATTCGGGAGTTTTGATGTTTTAAGAAACAGCTCTGGGAACAGCCTGGGTGGTAGGTTTGAGACCTGTGTTTGTTGAGGGCTGGGGAGACTGAGGCTGGCGAGGCCACCCCATGGGGGCGTGCAGAGGGCGGGGCAGGGGGAGGGCTCCTGGCTATCCCAGGAAGGGAAGGAGCAGGAGCTGAGGGGCAGGCCACAGAGTGGTGCTCATGGCAGGAAGGAACTCAAGAGCAAAGACAGATGGTGGCCAATCGTCGCCCGGGACTGGTCCCCTCACAGCAGGTGAAGTCAGCGTCTGCCTCAGGCTCCTGTTCGTGCCCTTGCAAAGCATGCCCTGCCCCACCTGACAGAGCCTCAAGACAGGCGGCTGGCTCTGGAAAGTGTTGGTGAACGAGCCGGAGCCCCTTACCATGTTGTTTTCAAGGTTTTCGCCATCTTTCAGCTTCACGGGGTCAATTTCGCAGGGTTTGTGGCTCTGGCATATCTGGAAAGAGCATTTGCGACCAGGAGTGAGTGAGACAGATCCCAGGAGCTCAGGGGGTTGGGGGTCAGCAGTATCAGCTCAGGGACAGATGCCATGAGCCTTGTTGAGAACACAGCTGCCCACAGCCAGCCCCCCCCCCCACCAGCTG